AATTTAATACGGCAATTCGTCTCTTCTTGGTTCTAGAAAAATCCAGAATTACTTCTTCTCTTCATCTGTTTGATCGGATATCAGTTTTAGTCAAAACTAATATTTATTTCTCTTGAAAATACAGAAAATTCCAAAAAAATATACAAACACTACAAAATAATCTGTCAACAGAAGAGGTAGCTGATTAAAGCGACAAACCCAACGTGGCAACTCGTCTTCCTGGTTCTAGAAAAATCCAGAATTACCTCTTCTCTTCCTCACTTCCTTCTCCCTGCCTTTGTCAAACCAGTTGTCCCTTCTCCAAAACCTTATCCTCAGCCAAAACGCCTGTATATAAGAAGAATTCCTACGATAAAGATCGACAGAGCGTCACGTCGTTCCTGTCCCTGAAAGAGCGAGTTGGAATGTCCACGAGACGTTGGAAACAAATTCACGATGAGCCCGGAAGCCAGACGGACCACTTCTCCGAATCCAAAGCGGAAGCTTAAGATATCATGCGTGTAGTGCGTTAGCTCAGCCAATTGGAGGCGGCTGTCTCGAAAATGATGATATTTCATCAAGCATCTCCCGTGCCTCGCGTTCATTATTGTGACTCTGGTCTGTCCTTTCTGGCTGCACCGCTCAACTAGTGCAATCAGTTAGAGCGAGCCAACTATGTTTCTTCTCACTCTAACTGATTGCGCCAGTTAAAGAGCAATTAAAGAGCAGCTAAAAAGAACAGATCCGTAGAGCCAGCCTCCTCGCTAGAGGTTTTTCTGGCGCGTTCCAGCAAAGAGAGACGACGCACGATTTCTCGGGCTACGTTCCTACGTGGCGCGTCATAAAAGTGCCGCGCGTCGCTGCTCCATTACCGATCGTGACGCAAGTACCGCGCCTTAATCGCGGGATTACACGGTTCTCGCGCAAAAGCTTTCGCGCGGGACACACAACACGCGAGCCCGAATTGCGAAATAAAAGTCGGACGTTGGCGACTGTGACGGCGCTCGGTGACTTCGTCTTCGTCGTCATCCGCGCTGAAAAGTTTATCAAGTGAAAGCGCGGCCGTGCGAGTGTGAGCGCTCGCGCGCTCGTACGTCGCTTGTTAAGACGTCAGTTATCGCCGGCCGATGATTAATCCGACAGGTTGGAGGCGGAATTATAAAACGGCGAAACGCGTTATCGCGGTGAATGCGCGCGCGTTCACAGATGCGAGAGGCCGCGAGATAAAGACGGATGCGCGGCGCGTCGCTCTGCGACGATACGTATATCATGCCGGCCGTAGTCCATCATTGTGATGAGGAGGAAGGATAGAGGTCCATTTATCAGAGGCTCGTTCATAGAAATCAGCCCGCGCCGAACGAGATGACTCAAAAGGTATCCGAGATTATCAAAGATCGTTTCATCTTATCTCTCAAGTTTATGAATCGTGCATCTTCGGATTACACCCACCCGGCGGATCCTCTGAGGGCTTTTCGGCCCTTTCGCGGCTAACGGCAACCAGTCGTCGAAGCGAGAGTCGAGAGACGAGCGCGCCGCGCTGCTCTCTCTCTCTCTCTCTCTCTCTCTCTCTCTCTCTCGTCGGGATCAAAAGCGGGCAGGTCGGCTAGTTAATTAATTCGTACAAACGCCTGTCGTCATACGGTAATTCGAAAACATGCAAGAGGAATCGCCGCGCGTGTTCAGAGTCGGGCTCTCGAATGCGAATTCGAGGGCCGACCTCGGACCTGGAGTTTTTCAAAGAATCGCACTTTATTAGCCGCAACTCTCCCGAATGAATTCTCAATGGTACGTCGGTGACGTGAATCGTCCGTATTGTGACTGCCACAAACTTGTGTCGGCGCGCATGCTCTTGCCAATTTAAGCACCGAAACGCGTTAGTTCGCAATTCGTTATTTCACGGACGTTTATTTTTGCATGCACGAAGGGACGCCAGGTGTGACCAGGTTTGATCAGGACTATCAATTTCTATTTCGGTTCTTCGAAAGCTTCATACTTGTCAAATTTTCGAGAACATTAAATCGTCGAATAAAATTCCAAAGTGTGAGTATATTTGGAATTTCGAGAAGTCGATTAAGTTCTGTGAGAGGAGCCTCGATGTTTCCAACGTATTGCAAGCAACACGTAGAATCGGAAGACTCGAAGCCCTATCGTCGAATTGTTCAAAGCTTCGAATATATCAAGCTACGTCCATTCTTTGATAATTCTTAGCATATATATACGTAGAGAATTGCTCGGTGCTCACGGAGTCGTCGACCCTGCCGCGCACGCATCGCACGTCGCGCGACGCGAAGGTGAGCGCGCAGTTAATTTGCATAATCAATTCAAAACGATGAGTTTCGCGCTTCGAACGGATCGGTCATTCTTTTCCCCACGGCTCGGCGTGGAAGAAAAGCCATCGGGGGCTGGCGTTATATAAATTACGCTCGCGTCTCTCTCCTGTCGGAGAGGTGCTCCTGCGATTGTCCAGGCAGCGCGGCGTAGTAGCGGGCTAGCGCCCGAGTAGAAAAATTAATAGGACTCTGGTAAGGGACTGATTATTTTTTTCTAACATTAATCGGACCCTAGTAGGGATAGTTAGACAAGGACCCTACAAGATGTGTGAGAAATGGTTTAACCGGTCCTTATAAGGCAGTGTTGCGAGGGCCTTATAAGGCAATATTTAATAGGGTCTTATAAGGGAATATTTTTATTACTGCTTGAGTAAAAATATATTCCTTTTTCTTCATTCCAAGAAATTTAGACTGTAATTTCTTTACTTCTTTATAACCTTGTTGGTGTACAACAAGAACTTTTTACTTTAAAAATATAGCACACTTCACAGTAAAATATAGCATTCTTTACACATAAAAATCCTGCCACTGTTTTCATTAAAGTTTGCTGCATTTTAAAACGAAGGTAACACTAGAAAAGAGACCAATGAATATGGTAATTAATAAAGCTAATAAAATTTATTTTTAATTGCGGTAATTGCGTACGATTAAAGAATTTTTAAAAGGACCAGATAAAGCGTACTTACTAAAACAATATTACATTATTTTATTATACGCAATTTTATTATACGCTTCAGATCTTACTAATTTTCTATAACAAAACTTAATTTTGTATATCTAAAGCATTCTTAAAAGATCCTTCTAAGGACCTTCTCAGCTTTTCCTATCAAAGCCTTACTTATTAGATCTAAGGCATCCTTAAAAAATCCTTCTAAGGTCCTTATCAGTTTTCCTCATCAAAGCCTTATTTCGTAAAATCGTAAGGTATCCCTAAAAGATCCATCTCGGGGCCTGATGTGGTAATAATGAGGCATCCCTTTTTAAAGCATTCTACCTTCAGCCTTATCGGGGGCCTTATGCTTCATGAGGATGGCCCTAACAATTTTTTACTCGGCCGGTGGCAGTCGGCAGACTCTTGAGCCACGTAGTAGCGTCGCTTCGATTTGGATCTTTGATTACGCATCACAGAGCCGACGTGCGCTGGAAAAATAAAAAAAGGCTTTTGCGCACGGAGAAGAAGGAGAGAGAGAGAGAGAGAGGGGGGGGGGAAGCGAAGGAGGGAAAATCGTGTATTGCGAGATATAAAATCTTTTTTACGAGCCTTAAAAATCTCCGCGGCGTCCGGCGCCGTTTCTTTATTTCCATTGCGGTAATCCCGTCTCCTCCCTTTACCGTTAGCTTCTCACTGCAGCTGTAAATAGCGAATCTCCCGTCGTTTTAATTTCTTCTTTATCTTCTTCGACCAGAACGCCCCTGCCCCTCCCCCTTCTCGCGTTGTCACTTGCGTGCGGCGTTGTCATCTTCTTCGTCGTCGTCGTCGTCGTCGTCGTCGTCGTTGTCGTCGTCGTTGTATTGTTGTTGTGTTGTTTCCCGTCGAGTACATATACCGTTTACGACACTTACACGCTCGTTAACGAATCCGCGCTTCACCAGACTCGCGCACGCTCCTGGGATATAATTATCTTTTTTCTACGTCGCGATGCCATTGCTGGAGTCGAGCATGGTGTGTTTTGCACAAATTGTGTAAACGACTCAATGAGATACTGAGATTATGGAAGAAATTAATGAGATGAGAGGTTTGGGTATCTCAAGCACTGTACTTGAAATCCATTAAAAATTACAGAATAGAATCAAATTATTGTATTTAATTTAATTTTTTTTAATTACAGATCGATCAGTAAATTTCTTCCAACACCGCGTATTTTGATTATAAGAATTTTTCGCATATATATATATATATATATGTATATATCAGGGGTTTATATGTGTATACAGGGTGTTTAAAAAAAAGGTTTACGTCTTTAAGGGCAGATGGTACTCGCAAAATGGAGGAAAAAAGTCGTCGAAAATATCAGTCGAAAAATTAATATTCTCGGAGTTATGAACAATTATTTATTATAATTAAAGCAAGGGACTTACTCGCTTCTGGTGCTTTTTCCTTATCTGATGTAACTTGTCTACGTCATTTATCGATGAAGAGAGTATCATACTTTAAAGAAATCTCTAAAACGAATCTCTTCGCTCTTGCTCGGAATATAAACAAGCATCTATTTTCTTCCCACTTACACGCACGCTTCACCAAGCAATTGTTAGTCGCATACCCTGGTAAATAGTGAACAGTTGCAGAGAGCTATCACAAAGTTTTCACGGTACGGTAAGAATTACATCGTATTACTTTAATAAAGAAATAGCAAAAATGCACTTCATATACCAGATGCGAGTAGACCCCTTGCTTTCATGAAAATAAATAATTGTTCATAACTCCAATAATATTAATTTTTTGATGTTTATGTTTATTAAGACTTTTTATTAGGACATTTTGTGAATACTCTCTGCCCTTAAAGTCCTGAATCCTCTTGTAAATGCTCTGCATAGTTGCTCTTCGCTAATACATTAAAGGAACTTTATTTCATCAACTTTCTTATACACCCTTCTAGTGGATGTAGAGATGTCAATGATTGTATTTCTTACTATAACCGTTGCTAACAAGAATATCATCAATGATCAGTGATTTGAACTTTTCCGTTGCAGATGTGAGCTAGTGAAGGTGGGATCCTCAGGAACCGCGAGGTCCTCGCAATGGAGGCGGGACCAAAGCAACAGC